AACTATTTCCCTGTTGACACTGTAAAGCTGCTTTGACACAACCAGTATTGTATAAAGCGCTATACAAATAAAGGTGACTTGACTTTTTTTTAAGCCTTTTTGTCCACTGACAACAGAAGGATGCAGGATTTAAAATGTTTTGACACTGACTTTGTACCAATGGGACCGGAGGAGATTCTAAGGAACTACTGTGGTGGCTTCTGCCGTTTTTCTGAGAAATCACTCTTGAAGACTTGAGGTTTTGATGCCAGAAGATAGACTTTATTATCAGAGATAACGAAGCCGAGAAACTCTGCAGAGAACCTGTTAAGTCTGTGTCTGCACACTCTTTATATAGGTTTCCATGTCATTCAGGCCACTATGGCTAGTCTATATCTCCTCACGTCAGCATAATACAAAGTTCATCACATCACATCACGTCTCAGTTCATCACATGTCGGCACAAGATCATCACATGTTCTCTCTCAATAGCAGCTCATCATATCTGAGCAAACACAGCCAAACACATGGCTATAATAGTAGAATAACTCATATGTATACGGTTATATTCACATTGATTATATTATATGGTTATATTCACATTGATTATACTTGATTAATACACATCTTGATCAATACAAATCTTCTACATACCCACCTTTGAGACGTACTAAGTCTCACCTTCACTTGTCTTTACCTAGAGTGCAATTTCATAATTCAGTCTCATCAGTTATCACCAGGGGTGTGAAGTAACGAATTACAAATACTCACGTTACAGTAATTAAGTAGTTTTTATCAGTAATTGTACTTTTTTGAATAGTTCAAAAATTGTGTACTTTTACTTTTACTTGAGTACATTTTAAGTGATGTATCGGTACTTTTACGCCGCTATTTTCCTCCGTTTGTTGGATAGATAGATAGTGATAGGTCTCGTGACTTTCCTCAAATCAAATTGTGCATAGAAAACTTTAACCGCCAACTGTTTATCATGGCTGCTGGAAGCGCATTCTTCAAGCATCAAATTCAGTCGCATCTTCCTCTAACTTAATGTGTTATGGTAAATTTCGGATTTTTGCTTACTAAATGATTTGTATATATGCTTGCCTATCTACACGGCCTGAAATCTGGTGTGAGGTTGCGGGTATTGCATACAGTGTTAACTCCCGCAAGTGCCAAGTTCGGTAAATTCCCACTCACTTATGAGACGCGCGATCTGCGCTGCCTCGTCTCTCTCTCGCGTGCGTTCTGCAGCGGTCACTTGGATAAGTCGTTGTTGCTTGTGGAACTTGTTGACTTTTGATGAGTTTGAGCGAGTGATGCGCGCTGTGAAAAAGTGTGTTGGAAACACAAATTGAGGACCAAATCTGCACCTTATTGATGACCCGTGGCGTTAATATACTGCATCTGTGCCAGCGCGTGATGTAATAAAACTGCAGCTAGTTAATAAACGTGTTTTTTTTAATCCATTTTATACAATCCGCCTTCATTTAGCAAGTGCACTCGCGCATAAACAATTTTCAAGTTCAACACTTTTTGTTCCGTTCAGTTGTGTCAATTGCGGTGTACAGTGTTTATTATGAGGGGGTAGAATCCACAGCTCAGTACTCACTACTCAATACTCATGAGTACTTTTAAATAGGCTACTCTTTTACTCTTACTCAGTAGTTTTTTTGGACAAGTACTTTTACTCTACTCACACTACATTTTTTGGAAGGTAATGGTACTTTTACTTGAGTATATTTTTTCAGTACTCTTTCCACCACTGGTTATCACTACCTAGAGACTAAGTTAAGTCACTCAGCTTCATTACCAATGACCAGATTATGCAACAGCACTCTGGTGGAGCAGCAGGACCAAAACTCTATCCCCCACATTTGACTTCAGGAGGAAGTAAAAAAGATCCTGTCTCCCTAACCCTTTCAAATATCAAAAAGTTCTTTCATGACACAACTTTACATGTCTTCTTCACCCTCTGTCTTTCCTTCTTGCTTTCTCCATTATTGTCTGCTTCAAGTTTCCTTCTCTTTCCACTTCCTCTTTTTCATTTGTTGGACCACATCTGCTCCATATTATTTCGATCATCTCGTTAGCCGTCCCATCAATCACTCCATCTTCACCAGGGTGACTCTTTGCGAGTCGTTGCAATGGTCTTTCTCTCGTTGGCAAGGGAGAGTCGTTACTAGCACACCCTTAATCCCTCACTTCATGCTGTGTTGGGTTGTTGAAGCTGGTTGGCATATTTTAAGGTGAGAGATGTGGACCCAGGTGTCACTCTGCAACCATTTTACTGATCAACGTAAGACACTTCCTTGAGATCATAACTGCACACTCACTGGTTCTTATTGGTGGAACAGACCATTCCTTTGCCTTGATAGAACTGCTGTCACCTGTAAATGGAAACCTTCAGAGTTTTTTGTTAGTGATATCAAACATGCTCATTTGCTCATCTGGCCAGTCGTCCTTCTTGGTGTAACCTGTGGAAATTTCATGTGGGCTGAGGGCTGTCCTGGCCCCTTTTTGGGCTCTTACACATCCATTGCTATCAATACAATGAGCAGGGATAATACCCATTTTCTATAATACAGAATTTGGTTTTATTAAATTATTTGAATCCTTACTACTTTTTAATTAATTTAAAATTTATTCTCAACAATTTGCTAATTCAGTTATCTCTTTGTTTTATAATCTGAGTCCCACTGTCACTGGATAATTTCTTAGGCCTATCTTGCTCAGTAGCAGAGGCCTTTTAACCTGGAAAACACTCAACCCACGTTGTTCATGTTAACAGTCAGAAAGACAATATTTTATACTTTTGACACAGAATCTGCTCCAGCATGATATGCTGAAAAGAAAGTTAGATGTGAGGTGGACAGAGCAAGATTGCTTTGCCTTCCCATGTAATACGCTGCACAAGTGTGGCACTGTGTTTCTTTTTGCCACAACAATAACTTGGGTACTGACCAGGAAACTTAACCAAATTCATTCATGGTCATTATTTTACTGGGAATAATCTGCCCTGTGGGCCCACAAATAAAAATTTGCATACAGCTGTTTTGGCAAAATTATTTATTTGCCTCAGTGTCTCGTCAGACACCCTCTTTCACTCCATATAACACCATCATTCACACTTTTTCACATCCTTTCACCCCCCTCAAAGGCCTGGTGTTGTGGTGTAAGATCTCCATTGTTTCTCAGTCTGGTTTTTGATTGATCCTGCCACAGTTTTGCATTTCAGGATGTTCTCTACACCCTAAGGAAAAGTCTCAAGTGAAAGATTCACCTTTTCCTGCATTAAGTCTAACTTCTTCACCCTAACAGAGAGGTATCCATAGGACTTTGCGCGCTTACCTATACTTTATCTGTTCAACGTTTACATTATCCTCAAGGCCCACTTAACAGTAAACACAGACCACTGCAATATATATCTGCTTTATGTTTACGATAATACTTACCTGTTAGGGCCAGACTCCTGGGCCCGGGGTAGAGCTCAAGGCTTGGAATCAGGAATAGATTCCTTTAAGGGAATACGACCAAGAGCCTAGAATCATACTAGTCTTGGCCTGTCACACGGGGGCTACCGCACGTTTCTCTTTGTATGTGCTTAAGGAACTGTCTCAACAGACCCCTAGTAGCAACACCCTGTTAAAGCAGGTATCCAGAGGATACATAGGAGGAGCGGTGCCCAAGGCGGAACCGGGGTTTTAAACCACTCAAAAAGAGCACGAAGTCGTTGCGCGTAGCTCTTACCATGCAGGATTTTAGAAAAGTGGGCAAAGCATAACATGCACACTTACCACTTATGTGGATTTTAGAAAAGTGGGCAAAGCATAACGTGCACACACTTGAATACCGTTCTAGGGGTTCTCGTGGCACCCTGAAAGAGCAGCCCATAGATAGAAATAGCGCATCCCAAAAACGCTATGTCTACGGCTATAATGCTGGAGTGGCTAGCAGTAAATCTGTAGCTGAGGGAGCAAACATCCAGCTCTAAATCGAGAGGGAGCTCAACCTACAGCATGTTCCAATGGTGGAACAGCTAGCAATTATTCAACTGAGGGAGCAACACACCCAGTTCTCAATCCGAGAAGGGGGCTCGACCTGCAGCATGTTCCAAAGCTGGAACAGCTAGCAATAATTTACTTAGCTGTGGGAACAACACACCTAGTTCTCAATCCGAGAAGGGGGCTCGACCTACAGCATGTTCCAAAGCTACGGGTCACGACGAGGCGTTCCCCATAGCGACCCCTAGAGGACGCAGTTCGAAGTTCCCATGAAAGGGAACTGCTTACCTTTTTAGTGGCCACTGTTTGTGTTGTTCGTCCAGTAAGCCCAAAGTGGCCTCTTGCTCCTTTCCAATCCTGTTCGTGATGCCAATTTGCAGAGGTGGGGGACTCGAGTCTGACTCGAGTCGAAAATTTAAGGACTTGTGACTTGCTTGACTAAATAAAGAAAATGACTTGACTTGACTTGGACTTGAGATCCAGTGACTTGAGACTTGACTTGATTTGACCTTCATGACTTGGCAGGTCTTGAATTTATTACAACTTTAATTATTGAGGTGAGCCACTGACTTGACTTGCTTGATTTGTTTGTACTGTGACTTGAGACTTGCTTGAGACTTGATGGTAGGGACTTGAGACTTGCTTGAGACTTGAACATGTGTGACTTGCCCCCACCTCTGCCAATTTGTGGTGGCTTCCGCTGTTTTTCTGAGAAATCACTCTTGAAGACTTGAGGTTTTGATGCCAGAAGATAGACTTTATTATCAGAGATAACGAAGCCGAGAAACTCCGCAGAGAACCTGTTAAGTCTGTCTGCACACTCTTTATATAGGTTTCCATAAACAATACATATCATTCAGGCCACTATGGCTAGTCTATATCTCCTCACGTCAGCATAATACAAAGAGGTCTCAGTTCATCACATGTTCTCTCTCAATAGCAGCTCATCATATCCGAGCACACACAGCCAAACACATGGCCTATAATAGTAGAATAACTCATATATGTATACGGTTATATTCACATTGATTATACTTGATTAATACACATCTTGATCAATAAAAATCTTCTACACTACTTTGTTAACAGTCAGTTGCCAGTCAGCCGGTCATTATATGCTCCACATACAGACCCACCTGGGCTTTGTTCTGCGATAATAACTGGATGACTGTACATGATCCCTACTCACCAAATAAATAATAATTATGTAAATTAAATATTGAGTTTTGAAATAATTTTTATAATCTTACCTCTGTGTGATTTTAAAGCTTCTGCAAAGAAAAAACAGTCCACTATAACACAATGGATGGCATTATTGACCAATCAGATTCAAGTATTCCAGTAAAGAGTGTTATGACCAACCTTGACTAGGAGATCATTTCATCATGAGACACTCGCTGTTGTTGGTGTGAGGCTGTCTGGTAGGGTTGCATTGCATTGATAGTTCAGACTCAGTTTACACATTGTTTTTTTAGATAAAGATGTCAGAGAGGTCTTTAACAACAATCTCTGAAAAGAAGAAGAAAAAAAAGCTTTCTCATGTAGATCATAGGAAATGCCAGTGCACTGACCATGGCAGCTGTCTTTCAACAGCCCAAGCCAAGCAATTATTGGAGAAGTGTTATGCTGGACAGATTTGTCTGATGCATGGAACGATATATAAATATATGATTTCAGATTAAACAGATGAATGCTTTGAGGTGACATGAGTTCACCACTGAATTAAGAAAGGGAAAGGTTTACATCAACAAGAATCTCCCACAACACAAAGAAATTCCAGCACACCCAAAATAGTGGGTATTCAATGTCCCAATAGTTTCATTTAAATTAGATTTCCTGAGACTTTTATTTTAAGACCACTTAGTCTTATATTAACCCAATATCAATTAAGAACTACAATTAGGCATTTTAACTCATAATCTGTTTCTGAAATCTTTTTATGTACAATTCCTTATTGTGTGTTAGTGGGACTAGAGTGTCTAAATGAAAAATAAAGCCTAGAGTGTCTAAATGAAACAGATCAAATTAAGGAAGATATTCAGAAGTGCCTCAACATCTGAAGTCATTTGTGTGTAGAGCTCAGGTCTGAACTCAAACACTTCCCTTCCACTGACCTGGAGGACAGGAAAGCATTAGATGAGTGTCATTTAACAACAGATGACAGCATGAAAGAGTCTTGAAGAACCAGGACACAGTAAAACAACAGCAACCAGAGGATATGAGAGTATAAGCTTTACTGCCACCCTCTGGTCAAACCACAGCATCACCGTCAGAGGTGAAGGAGGAAGGGTTGCATTGCATTGATAGTTCAGACTCAGTTTACACATTGTTTTTTTAGATAAAGATGTCAGAGAGGTCTTTAACAACAATCTCTGAAAAGAAGAAGAAAAAAAACATTCAAGTATGTCATGGCAGGGTCTTTTGTAGAAATCTGCTCACTCTTGAAAAATGTCCTGCTCACAACCACACCAAAGCTTTGAAATATATAATCTTTTTTTTTATATATATACTAAAGTTGATAAACAATGAAAAACTATGGTAGAATATGAAGTATTATTATATAAGCAACTACTTCTTTCATAATTTGCTCAGTATCTTACTATAGGAAATGGTCCAGGGTTATGATGGGAAAAATCCCTCTGCCATACTTTATTAAGCTTCAGTGACAGAGAAGTTAGACCTTCTCAATACCTCTGTGTATTAAAGACTTTTTAGTCCAGCAGCTGGAACTATGTGACAGAATTTTTTTTTTTTTAGCTCAGACAGGGACTAAAAAGCCCTAGGTGATGGGGAAGGTCCTCAGGTCAATGGCCTTATAAAACTATAATTCACTGCAGCCACTGCAAAAAATGTCTGTCTACTTTTAAAATGATTTTTTATATATAACAGGAGAGGGCTTTGTATGTGATTTTTCAACTGGCACAATTTTCAAAAATGTTTTGGGGTTCTTTTATGGAACCCTCTTTAGGTGATTTATATGTGTGTATATATATATATAAAGAGTCTTGAAGAACCAGGACACAGTAAAACAACAGCAACCAGAGGATATGAGAGTATAAGCTTTACTGCCACCCTCTGGTCAAACCACAGCATCACCGTCAGAGGTGAAGGAGGATGAATATCAGTGTCATCATGATTTTTACTCACCCCAAGTGCTCTGCCAGCTTTGAAGTCAGCTTTCTTTCTGTCCACGTCCTGCTATGCTTTAGCCAGTGTCTCTTGCCTTTTTCTTTTCTTCAAGGCCAAGAATGTTTCCAGAGTACTTGAGAGTAATTTTCTATCAAATCCTCCAGTGAGATCTTGTCATTCTTCTCCTCCTTCTTCAGAACAAAGCCCACAGGAATAAAATCTGTCAGTATTTGCTGGTTACAGTAGCATCAAGAAAATACTTATTTACTGATTTACTTTTAAGATGAAAGAAAAATAGCCAAATGACATTAACGATAAAGATCACTATATTAGTCATTTAGCAGACGCTTTTATTCAAAGCGACTTACAAATGAGGACAATAGAAGCAATCAAAACTAACAAAAGAGCAACAATATGTAAGTGCAAATGACAAGTCTCGGTTAGCCTATATATGTGTGTGTGTGTTTATAATTGAACTGTAATTGAAGATGATAATAGTAATAGAGCAGCATATAGTGAGTGTAACATAGAGCTCAAGCTGCTTTAACTGACTTACTGCTGATGTCAAGTGTTGTTTACATTTAAATGAGCCTCAACATTCTATGTCAGTAACAGCAGTAACATTTTTTTATCCAAAGTTAAAGTTGCGGTTGTTGGACTCCTCGGTTTGGTTTTTCATGCATCGCTATGTGGTTGTTAGGATGTTTTGAGTGGCTGGTTGACATGCGGTTGTTTTAAACCAGGGGTGCCCAAACTCGGTCCTGGAGGGCCGGTGTCCTGCAGAATTTAGCTCCAACTTGCCTCAACACACCTGCCTTTAAGTTTCTAGTATGCCTAGTGAGAGCTTGATTATCTGGTTCAGGTGTGTTTAATTGGGGTTGGAGCTAAACTCTTATGGACACCGGCCCTCCAGGACCGAGTTTGGACACCCCTGTTTTAAACAGTTGAGTAGGTAGGTTAGGGTCCCTCACATGTGCATCAGTGATGCTGAGAGCTACGCCACTGGTACTTCACAACTACTGTAGGGTCACCCATAGAGGACAGGTCTCAGCTGAGATGCCAGACGAAGACAAACCACCTGATTCTGGACGGCAGCAGATTGACCTGATGTTCCTGGCAGAAGATCACAGAACAACATCAGAATTACCTGCATGAATCTTCATGCAACACAAACGAAAATGTTGCTTTTAAATCTAGGCACATGGTAACATAAATTACAGCGATTAGAGCAGTGAAGATTAAAATTAAAAACTAAATATGTTATAAAATTAAAACTAAACTAAAAAATACAATCACAGCATGAAAAATATCTAAAGAACATCAGAAGCTCAAAACTAACCCTGTGTTGTGGGTTTCCAGAGCATTGTTATGTGATTGATAGAGTGAAAAAATAATAAAAATTTAAATTTCACTCAAGTTGTCTTTTTTCTGAGTTTCATTTCTAAAGTCTGAAAAGTCAAAGATATTTTTTATCTTTGATTAATAGTCTTTATGCATCAAGACAAAAGGCAAGATATTATTCTGTTTGCCCTTAAAGGGATCGTTCACCCAACACAAAAGAAGATGTTTTGAAAAATGTGGTGGGGGGGTTCTGTCCATAGTGGACTAATTTGTGGTTTAATTGATTTTGACCATTGACTGTCATTGTAAAGAAAAAAGAAAAAAAATTCTAAACATCTTCTTTGTGTTCTGCAGAAGAAAGTAAATCATACAGGTTTGGAATGACATGACGGTGAGTAAATTATGACAGAATTGTAATTTTTGAAGTATCCCTTCAAGTCTGTGAGCTTGATTTCCTGAAGGCCAGTTTCAAAAGTGATCTGCTTTCAACTCTCAAACTGGATTCAACACTCAGTTTTGAACACAATACCAACCTGCAACCTTTTCAGGGTAAAGACCTACCAGTTATAAATAGACTGTCAAATGAAACATTTCACAATAAGGTCCTATTAGTTAACATTGGTGAATGCATTAACTAACAATAAGCAACACATTTGTTGTAGTATGTATTATTTTTTGTTGATGTAAGTTAATAAAAATACAGTGTTTACTGTTTGTTTATGTTAGCTCAGATCCATTAAATATTAACAGATACAGCTCTTGAATGGAACCTTTTTATAACATATTACAGAAAACATGTATCATCAGAATTTAGAGCATTACGTACCTGTTGTCAACTTACCTAATGTTACCTTACTGATGTCAACGGCTGCTACGGAATAACACCAGTGAGCAGCCATCTATGAGAGACAGAGAAAGACACTTTAGATATGGCTAGACTGTATATATAGCGTTCAAATGTTTGGGGCCAGTAGGATTATTTAATGTTTCTGACAGAGGTCTCTTATGCTTACAAAGACAGTTATTTGATCAAAAATAAAATTTTCAGCAGCCATTACTACAGTACAGTTGTGCTATTTCAATCACGCCAACCAAAATGGTACTCTTAGCCAGTACTGGCCTGAGTACTGAAACTGGACCAACACCACCGGCATTGGGCCACAATCACACTGACGAGTGGCCCAATGCCGGTGGTGTCGGCTCAGTTTCAGTACCCAGACTCAGGCCAGTACTGGCTAAGTGTTTCATTTCTTGTCGGTGTGATTGTGGCCCAATGCCGGCAGTTTTGGCAGCCGGACTCGGGCCAGTGTATTTGGGCCAATTCTGGGGCGTCATTCATCCCATGTCCATGCCGACTCTGGCAACCGCAGCCGGGCCGAGTTATTTCATCCGGCCTGCCGGATCTGGGCCATTATTGGGCCAAACCGTTTTGGTTACCTGAGCACATGATCACAAATGGAAATCACTTCCGTGAAGTGGCCATCGCATGTTCCCTTCGCTAACGGACTTCTGAAAGGGCCCTTCATGAAGGGATTAATTTGTTCACTATGAAATTCTTGTTTTCTACTAAATACATTAAGGAATGTTGAGTTACCTAACTTTCAGAAATAACTGTCGAATTACGTACAACGCTGCGGCGTATTCACGAAGACATTTCACAGAGCATGCTTACCAGAGATCTGTCTTAATATTGGGAGATGAAGTAGTACTTGGTAGAGGGTCTGTAGTACTTACCATTGGAAAAAGGTAACGGCTAACTTGAATCACGTGAGGCCCCTCAGCCAAATGGCCTGTGGTCTCCCTCCCTGCATACCGCCAAAGGCTGCTAGAAGCGAGACAGCTGGGGTGAAGCTGTGTCCCTTCTAGCTTTAAACTGCAGCGTTAGCTTTAGCCGTTATGCCTTTTTGGCTAAAGGTTGCAGGCTTGCCTTCCAGTGGCTTTGTTCTTACCAGCACGTAACTCTGTTCATACTTGCATTCGCTTCATTTGGAAAAGATTTTGGAAACATTATTCATGGTTGATGTTATTATCGGTTATATAGTTGCTGGATAGGAAAATGTAAAGTAGCTCACAGAGACTAACAGACACACTTTTAAACGCATTTTATTTCGTTTTAGAAACTAACTGATCCTGAATGTGTATCATTATATTGGATCCATGCATTGTCTTAAAGTGACCGCGCCTAATTTACTAGCTGCTGTCGGTGTCCTTAATGTTAATCCAAGAAAAGAAAAAAAAAAAATCACTCTGCTCTTGACTGAATAACTTCTGTAGTTTTAACAAGAATTAATGTATATTTAATTTATACAGTGAAGACTACGCAATGCTATTTTACATTTAACTTAAATCATTAATTTGTATCTTTGTTCTATTTATTTAATTGAACAATTTACACCATTTCAAACAGGGCCCACAGATACAAGCGGCACCGTGGCCCTGCATACCCCAGCTACGGCCCTGAAATCATTACCTGATATAGGACAATGAAGTCCACATCTAGACCAGACTAAGCATGTGTACTTTTATCGGAACATTCTTCAAATGTCAGATTTCTACTTTATCTTAAACCTACTCTCAATCAAGAGTTACAATTTAGCATTTAAACTCAAAGCCAGTATCTGATATCCTTTTATTTACAATTACTTGTGGTGTGTTGGTGGGAGGGCAGTTTAAAACAATTGAATACAAAAGGACAGACACGTTACTAGTTCATCTCACAACAAGCTCATCTTTCGGGCTCACACTTCCTGAAACCACTTCAAAAACCAAATCTGACTAGTAATGATGTCATCCAAATCTCTTTCTGTAAGGCCAGATGCCACATCTGCATCCGAGAGACTTCACATTCAGCACCTCAATCAGATCAACTGATTATTGAACACTTGAAATGTCAGCATCACACTTATTCACCTTGACATTCTGATCCTGATACAGGCATGCAGTTGGTTACAAGTTAAAAACTGAAATGATACCGATCAACTGAACCTTTGTTTTCATTAAAGCAAATGAAACGTCTTGAGTATTTATGCTGAATCAATTCATACGCATGTCCTTACAAAAATTATTTAATCAAATCTTTCAAAAGAGAATGCAGAAATATCAAATAATCAACAGCCTCATAAATATTTGGAGTATGTTCCTGCTGAAGAACCAAACCCTCACCTGACTGTGCTTTTGGGGTAGACTGCAATTTAAAAAAATGGAAAAAGGGCACAAAAAAAAAAATTACATCAGAGAGCGAACAAGAGCCACATCTACTCCAGTCTCTTCTGTAGCGTCCCAGGACATCAAGTGATGAGGGTGCATGTTGCAGGCAGAGCGGTTTCTGACATGGCAATTCTGGTGGTAGTTATTTGTGAAAATACTGTCATTCACATCAAGCCATGTGTAGTTCATGAATGATGCAACAGTCCCAGTCTTCACTCGTCCAGGTCCAGTGTGTTGAGCTCCTCCTCCAGTTCGTCTAGATCCTCCCCGGTGAAGAGGTTCTCATCTACTGGCACCGCCTCTGACTCCTCCTCATTGGTTTCTCCATCCTCCAGCGTCTGGTCCTGGCCAAGCTCTCCGTTCTCCACATCTCCGCCTGATGCCTCGCTCAATTTATTGTCTGTAGAGACAAAACCGAGGTCAGTGACGTCAGAAGGAAGCATGAAGAATCAGAATGACATTTATGGATAACTGTGACCTGATTGTGAGTTATTACACTCATTTAAAGTCCCCCTGTGGTGAAAATCAAGTTTTTTATGTTGTTTATTTGTCTATGTGGTGTTTTTAATAGGCTTTTAGACAAACCATGTGCCAATCCATTTATCAACACCATTGCGGAGTATTTTCTCCTTAAAACTGTAGTTTCCCAAAGGCAGTCACAGAAACGCAGTTTGAAACAGCCTTTTTTTT